TCGTAGAACAGAAGAGAATCAGGGTGACTAGGCTTTGGCTACAGGGAGTGTTATAGTTTTGATCTAGGCAGACCACTAAAATTTCCTTCATAGTAGTAGCGAGGCTGTCTTGCTTCGCTATCATTCACATTTAATGGAATTGTTTAGTGGCAATTTTAGATTGTTTAAGAACTTTTGCTTTGCATTCACAGCTTAGCTGTTTGGCCTAAAAGGCCGAGCTTGGCTTTGGTTCATCTTCTTTAAGCTTAACCATTTCTAGTGTTTGGTTCAAAAATGAGATGTGCAACTCTTCCTTCAGTTGAACACTCCAAGAGCATTGTAGGGTTATTAATTGGCCTTATTTCAATATTGTTGTCTCAGAATAGAGTGGAGGAAAGGCAGAGATGGAGAGCAGCTGGTTGGTGGAGTAGTTACAACAAACAGTGTTTAAGTTGACTATCTCATATGGGCAGAGTTTATAGCACTCCCAACACAACTACAATGGAAATGTCAAAGATCACTGATGTCAGGGGATAGTGATACATTGTTATAATCCCAGCACTCTGGGAGGCTGACGCAGGAAGTTTGAGTCCAGCCTGGGCAATTTAGCAACTTAGTCTCTGTCTTAAAAAACCACTGATCGTCAATCATCATAACAGATAAAATAATAATGAAAAAAGTTTGAAATATTGTAAGGATTACCAGATTGTGACACAGACATGAAGTGGGTACATGCGCCTGGAAAAATGGTGTCAGTAGACTTGTTTGATGCAGACTTCCCAAAAACCTTCAACTTGTACAAAGTACAATATTTGCAAGGCATAATAAAGCAAAATATAGCAGAAGGAGTTGTATTTGAGCAGAAGACTTGCTCAGTCATATGGCACTTTGTGTTTAGTTTTTTGAGGACCTGACAAACTATTTTCTACAGTGGCCATAGTGTTTAGTATTCCCACAGTATATGAGGGTTTCTCCACATCCTTGTCAACATGTAGCTAATTTGTTATTCTAGCCATTTTAGTGGATGTGAAGTGGTATTTTATTGTGCATTTTTCCTTCTTTTGGTGCTAAAGATTGAACCCAGGGCCTTGCCCATGCTAAGTAGATAGTTTGCTCCTGAACTACACCCCACATCTAGAATTCATTACCAAAATAAAGACTTTTCAAAAATAAAGACAAAATTAATTTTCAGACAAATAAAAGCTGAGAGGATTTATTACCAGTAGATTTGTACTGTAAGAAGCATTGAGTTCTTTGAGTTGAAGGAAATGAATTTTATATCCCCCAAAAGACACACAGAGTGTTACAGCAGCACTGTTCATAATAGCCTTGGCTGGAAACAACTTGAGTAGCTATAAACAAGAGAAAGATTAGTAGAGAACAGTGTTACGGTGTTTGGAATAAGGCTTCGTGTTGTAGACATTATGAGAGAAACATAACAAAGGAGGGTACACTCTAAAGTCCCACTTATATAAATTTAAGAATAACAAAATTATTTTTATTTTTTATTTTTTTGCGATACCAGGACCCTGCACTTGCCAGGCAAGTGCTTATTGTATTGAGCTATCTCTCCAGACCTAGAGTAACAAAATTAATGATTAGAGTCAGACTAGTGGTCACCTCAGGTTGTGATTACTGAAAGGAAGGCAGGGGCTTTCCAGGGTGTTGCAGACACTGCATATTTCAGTCTGTTCAGTGACCATGTGATCATATATGTGTATAAAAAATTACCAAGTTTGTACATTTAAGATTTTACTCAATTTTAATGTTATTTCCTTTTAAGTTACTGTGTTTAGTCATCTTTATAGGAATGAAATTGACAATTAAAGATACTACTAATTATATTTATTAAAGAATAAGGCCAAAATGAGAAAGACAGAAAATGGATAGTGGGGAGATAGAATTTAAGTCCTAAACTTTTAAGAAGGAATGGTTTTGTATTTTGTAGCTGTATGAAACACAACTTTGTGTCTTACTGCTGGTTTTTGTATATTGCCTTTTGACTCTGTTCTCTTTTTTTTTCCTGTCCCTCCGTGACTGAGTACAGTACAGGATTCTTCTTTATATCAGTCAGCAACAGCCAGTTACTGTTGCTAGAATCCATCTGAACTTTGAGTTAACGGTAAGAGTTCCCCATACTGGAATATGACACCCTTTGGGAA